ACTCTAGCAACCATACTTTTCTGTTGTTTTCCCTCTCCTCTTTTTCATTTGAACTGTCTCCAGCTTCCATGAAAAGTTTCCTTATTTCTTTATTATTCCCACCAAGTCTTATGCACAAGATCATGGAATGTAGGATTTTAAGATCATAGATTTAGAGCTGAGAGGACTCTTAAAGGTCATTGAGTTCAAAATTATATTTTGACATGGCCTTTCAATATTTCTAGCCAAAGTCCCATTCCCAGCTCCCACTTCCATTGGCATCTCTGAAAACAATCCTTCCCAAACAGTCCCCACCATTCTCATTTACCTTTAAGTGTGAGATGTAAAACTGATTCTTTCCTCTCTATTGAACTGGTGTTCTTCCTGTTTTTGCACAAGGGTACTACTTTAAGAACATTAACAAGCAAGTCTTGGTGACTTGAGGGAGCACCAAAGTCATAAACATAAAGCCTCTGTGTCCTATCTATTGGCCTTCTTTATAGAGACAATTGTTCTTACTCAAACTAGTTCATATCATTACTTTTCTTCCATGTGATTTTCCTATGTAATTAAAAACATTCATAAAATATTGCTTTGCTCAAGAATACTTCCTTCCCAAAGCAAGGCCATGATATTAGAGTAGAGAGCAGCACTATGTAAGCATCTCCATCCTAATGCCTACAGAAGCCTGTGGACCCTGGATGATTTCAAATGATCTACCACTGCGTCTGGATGAAGTTGAACTCTTCATCCTCACAACCTTCCCCAAAGTGGTCTTTAAGGAATCTTTGTAATCCCTGCAGTCATTTAAACATTTATATAGGAACTGTATGAAAGTTAACTTTTAAAGCTTTAGGGAAGGGGCAGCTAGGTGGTGCAGTGGTTAGAGCACTGTCTCTGGATTCTGGAGGACCTGAGTTCAAATCCGGCCTCAGACACATAACACTTCATAAGCTGTGTGACCCTGGGCAAGTCACTTTACCACATTGCCTAGCCAATAAATAAATAAATAAAGCTTTAGGGATATTCTAATGATTCCATTCAATTCAACTTATTTGGTGCTTTTAACTGATCGCACAACAGACAAAATGCAGAACAGGGAGATGCTTTCAAATTTCTTCTTGATAAGCCAAACATGAGAGGAGTAATGTAGTTATGCAAATGATTATGATTGATTTGAATCCCCATATTTTTAAAAAATACCTCCGTGTATAGGCAGCTATGGTTCTGGATCAAACCCATTACATCTTTCCACACAATGGCTATGTATATGAACATCTGCTGCAGCATGGGTCCAGATTCCAAGTCCTGATTCTCGACCTTGGTGTCTCAATGAGTGCCACCTCCACTTCTTTCACCAGTATTTGACAGGCCATAGTCAGACTTACATGTGGGGATATTATTCACAGACAAAACAAAGTGGCGAGATACACACACCACAAGGGCAATTATGAGCTACATGCTCAGGTCATGAAAGGATTGCAGATGTGCTTACTGAATCAATCATATAGGAAATATCATGGATAACATAAGAGATACAGCAGGATAGTAAGAAGGTTAACATTGTCCTGACTTTTTAAAAGGAAAAAGAACAGAATCCATAACCTATAGGGAAGTGAACTTGATTTAAATTCCTAGAAAAATTGTAGAGTTCATTAGAGGAAATCTAGAAACAGTCATTGGTTATAAGTGCCAACATCAACTCATCACAAACAAGTTATGTCAGCCCAACATTGCTTTCTATTTGGATAGGATTTTTGATAAGAGGAAGAGTATGAAAATCTTTTACCTAAACTATAGCAAAACATTTTATAAATTACTTCCTACTATTCTTGTGAAATGATATACATGGAGTGATAATTTTAACTAGATAGATTTGGAACTGGTAGAATAGCCTTATTTAACGAGAATTGTTAATGGTTCAATGTCAGCTCAGCAAAAAGTCTCCAGGAAACTGTTCCAATGATTTATCCTCTTTTCATACACTTTTATCAATGATTTAGGAAAGATAAAGGTAGAGTCGGCACATTCACCACATTTGCAAGGGGCACAAAGTGGTGAGGGATAATTGACACAAATGACAGAGGAAGGTTCCAAAACAATACTGTTGACCTAGAGTATTGCACTGAGTCTAATAAAATGAAATCCAATAAGGAGAAATAAAAGAAGTCCTAAAGTCCTAAATAGTAGTTTGAAAAAAAAAGATCTGGGGTTTTTATTGGATGAGTCATTGATGTGATGCAGTAGCCCAAAAAGCAAATTTTTTTTTGTTTGCTTTTTTAGGCAATTGGAGTCAAGTGACTTGCCCAAGGTCACACAGCTAGTAAGTGTGTCAAGTGTTTGGTCTGAGGCTGGATTTGAACTCAGGTACTCCTGACTTCAGAGTCGGTGCTCTATCCAGTGTGCCACCTAGCTGCCCCACAAAAAGCAAATTTTGAGATGGAAGAGAGGGATAGTTTTTAGGAATAACAATCATTATCCCTCTGTATTCTTTCCTGACCAGTCCACATCTGAAGTACTATCTTCATTTTGGAACACCAGTTTAAGAAAGACACAGATAAGTGGGAGTGTTTGTGCATATATGTTTATACGTGGTTGTGTGTGTGTTGAGTTTTGTGAAGACCTATGATATTACTTTAATTATTAAACCTATCACTATGGCAGATTCTCAGCATGTAACCCTAAATGTCATATATACATCATTCTCTAAGCCATGCAGTAAATTTTTCCCAACCATTAATAGCATAATTTCATAAAGTTCTCAAAAATGGCTGAATTATTCTAAAAACTTATGAAGGTGCTTCACAAAACACAAAACAAAATATCAGTAAGTAACTATGTTACATGAAACAAAAAACTTTGCAGAAGTCTTATGACATTAATTCATTGAATTATCTATATGAAATATTACATTTATAATTCCCAGTTTTAGCATTCTGTGTTGGTTTACTAAAAAATCATAATAGTTGAAAAGGTGTGTCGTGATATTGTCTATCAGCTATGGTCTACAGCAAAGATCAAAGATGGACTAGATAATAACTGTGTACTCCCCTCCACTAATATTGCCAATTAAAGACATTCTCAAATAATCAATAAGTAAAAATGTATTAAGTTCTTGCTAAGTGCCAGGTACTGGCCTAGGCACTGAAAATATAAAGACAAAATTGAAACAATTCCTTTTTGGAATGAGCTTGCATTCGATGAGGGGAGACTTGTACACATGCATATATTGTATATATATATATATATATACACACACACACACACACATATGTATAATGTATATATATGTATATATACACACACACAGAATAAATGTATTCAGAATAAATAAAAAGAAATATAAAGTAGGTAAATACAAGGTAATAGTGAGGGCACTAGCATGTTGGTGGTATCAGGAAAGACATTGTGTAGAAGGTAATAAGAAATGAGAAAATAATTCCGTATAGATTTAGCTAAAATCTAATTTTCATTCCATTGTTATCTTGAAATTCATCAAGTCCAAATTACCTAAAATATTAAATATAACATCAAATTAATAATTTCCCAAGGGAAGAGTCACATTCCTTAAACACATATTCACTAATTGGTGCTCCAATATGATGAATCCAATTAATTTTCCAAAGTTCACATCAGAATTACAGCATCTGTGAAGTTTAGCTTGAAAATGGTTATCAGTGTTTAAAAATTCCCATAGATAAGTTGTTTTTTCAACAAAAGTTTTGTATTATTATTCATTTCCAAAATATACAAATTGTTCTGGTTCTTAAAAAAACAAACTGGTTCAATGGGTTTCACCTTTCCCATTAATTGTTGTTCTTGCTAAATTGTTTATTCACATCTGACTCTTCATGACCCTATTTTTATGAAGCTATTGTTTTTAAAAGTATAACCAAAACATATTAACCAGCTGCAGGGCACACCCAATGAAGGAGACAGATTTCCTCTCAGACATAACATTTATCAGCATTTGAGAGACAGAGAAAGATGTGTAGCAGATGTCCAAAAAGTAGAGGTTCCCAAGGAAAAAATACATAGGGGTGTGAAGGTGGAGATCCAGGATGCTGATGATAATGAGGATGCTGTTTCCCAAGAGGATCACCAGGTACATCACCTATTTTATCTTCACAAAGAAACTGGAATGTTTTGCCATTTCCCTTTCCATGGTCCCCATTTTACAGCCGAGGAAACTGAGGTAAACAGAGCTTGAGTGACTTGCCCAGAGTCACACAGCTTGTAAGTGTCTGGGGCTGGATTTGAACTCAGGTCCTCCTGATTCCAGGCTTTGCACTCTATCCACTGCTCCACTTTGAAGTGCCTACTCTTTACCAGGCATTCTGTTAGGTGCTGGAGATGTGAATTGTCCTTCAAATGACATTGGATGACCATTTTTGGGAGATGATATAGACTGGAATTTTGGTCTGATATGATTTGATCAAGAAAATCCCTGAGGTCCTTTCTAAATCTTCCTTTTTGTCATTTTTTTGATTTCTATTATAGAGTAATTTCTGTGAGAACAAGGAACTTGTATTTTTTTAACTTCCTGTATCTCTCATCACTTATCACAATGTAGTATACACTATGGGTGCTTAATGCATATGTGTTGAATATTTGAATGAATATATTAATATAAATTATAGTCTTACCTCAAAAGTTCCTATATCTTAGCAACATATTTTGCTCAATCTGACATTAACCAAATGGAAACATGATTTTTTTCAGTTGTCAACCTATGAAGCAATCAATTTCTGTGTTTATATATGATTTATTATAATAAAAAGTTTTGTAAACCACATGAGACCAAGATGTTGACCTGCAGAACACATACAGCAAGAGACCTAGGGATAGGAACTGTGCCTCAAATGTAACACATTAATACCCTGCGTGGAAAGGAGAAGAATCACACATTAAGCTTTGCATCCATAATAATATACTTGACACCAGGGAGAGCAATGTTATCATTGAATACCAAGTACAATGTCCAAGACAAAATACAAACCTACTGTAAACCTTAAAGCACTTCACATTCTCTTGAAGTGCAGATTTCTAATGAAGAATTTCTCCATAGCATTTTTTACCTCCTTGTTCCTTAGACTGTAGATAATGGGATTTAGCATTGGAGTGATGACCCCATAGGACAGCCCGATAAGCTCATCAGATGTCTTAGTGTCCTTGGACTTGGGCTTCATGTATATGAAAAGGGCTGAACCATAGAACAAGATCACCATGGTCAGGTGGGCTGAGCAAGTAGAAAAGGCTTTCTTCCTCCCTTCACTAGAGGTGATCCTCAGGATGGTGAAGATGATAAAGATATAGGAGAAGAAAATCAGCAACAGAGGAGTAATTAAAATAACAATACTTGCAACTGTCATGATAAAAACATTAAGGGAAATGTCTCCACAGAGAAGCTTGAGAAGGGCCAGGATTTCACAAGTAAGATGATCAATGATATTTCCACAGAAAGGCTTTATAAGGGCAAGCACAGTTTGTACCAGAGAGACCAGAAATCCTGTTATCCAGGTCCAAGCAGCCACTTGTGCACAGAGTCCCTTGTTCATGATGATGGTGTATCTTAGGGGATTGCAGATGGCAACATACCTGTCATAGGCCATCACTGCCAGGAGAACGCACTCTGTGCACCCCAGTCCAAGAGAAATAACCATCTGCAGGGCACACCCAATGAAGGAGATGGTTTTTCTCTCAGACATAACATTTATCAGCATTTGAGGGATAGAGGAGGATGTGTAGCAGATGTCCAAAAAGTAGAGGTTCCCAAGGAAAAAATACATAGGGGTGTGAAGGTGGGGATCCAGGATGCTGATGATAATGAGGATGCTGTTTCCCAACAGGATCACCAGGTACATCACCAGGCAGAGTACATAAAGAGCTAGCAGGAGGCCTGGGTAATGAGAAAGCCCTACCAGAAAAAACTCAGTCACAGCTGTGTAATTCTCCTTGTTCATGCTATTTTAACTGTGCCAACTGCAGGATTTAGGAAAGGGCACACCTCAAAACAGCTGGAATGAATAGTAACACATTTGTAATTAGCTTCATATTTTGCACTATTTCTTTTTTTCAATATTGATTTTTTTTTCATTCAGTGGTACAGGTATTTAAATACATGCATAAGGGCAAAAATTAGGAAAATATGAAAAATGTGCGTGCAACCCGAAGCAAATGTGACCACCAATATTTGTAACAAAATTTTCACTTGAGAGTAAAAATAACAACAAAATCAGTGCTCATAACTGGGAAAAGATGGACTAAATTGCAGCATGTGAATGCAATGGAGAATTACTTTGCCTTAAGAGATGATGAATATGAAGAATTCAGAGAAAATTAGAAGCCTTGTATGAATTGATGTTGTATGAGGCAAGCAGGATTAAGAGAACAAATTACCAAAAGATTATAATGATGGAAAGGAAAACAAGGCAGAAAATATCAGAAAAGTGGTTGGTGCGATTGCGCAATTTCAACTTCAGAATACTGACAATGTTCATCCCCTGGGAAGATCAGTGAAGGTCTATAGGAGTGGAAGGAAACATATGTTGGTGGAAGTGGATTTTGTGCTGGTTTATTTTGCTTGTCCATCTTTGCTGTGAGAAAAGTTTCTATAGAGTGAGGGCTTATTAGAAAGTGAAACAATTGTTTTTTAAAGTATAACCAAAACATTCTTTAAACTTCATCTAGAAAAGGGTAATATAGATGAAGACAGTCAAAAGCTTAGAGTACATAATGGAGAAAGACTTTGAAGCAGTACTGTTGTTATTGTTGAGTCATTTCAGTCATGTCTGACCCTTCATGACCCCATTTGGCAGAGATACTGGAGTGGTTTGCTATTTCCTTCTCTGGCTCATTTTACAAATGAGGAAATGGAGGCAAACAGGATTAAGTGACTTGCCCAGAGTCATATAGCTAATAAGTGTCTGAGGTCAGATTTGAACTCAGGAAGATGAGTCTTCTTCCAGCCCTGGCTCTGTATCCACTATGCCAGCTAGATGCCTTGAAGCAGTATCCATTGGAAGAAATTGATCTCAATAAGGTCAGAAAGGCAAGGACATAAGAAGGAGAATGGTACAGTGGAAAGACCACTAGTTCTGCACTCAGGAGACCAGCATTCAAATCCCCCCTCTGATTCTTGCAATTTTTGTGACACTATACTCCACTTACTTTCCCTGGGACTCAGTTTCCTCAACTTTAGAGCAAGATGACCCTCTGTGGTTCCTTTCAGCTTTAGATCTATGTTCTAATCCATGATCTGCTGAGAAGAGATTGTGAAGTTAAAGTCTTAAATAAAACAGAGAAATATTAGGTTATCTGCTGAGGAGTAGGCATTCAAAGATGATTCTTAGTAACTTGTTCTCTTAATTCTACTTACTTCACATATCAGCTTATATAAGTCTTTTCAAGTTCCTCTGAATTCTTCATACTCATTATTTTTATGGCAAAATAAAAGAAATGTTGTTTTCCATTGAGGGCCCATTTGTAGTTCGATAACATAAATTTAGAGAGGATCCAATCAGCTTGATTTTTAAATTTTGATGTTATATGCCTAATGCTCTAGAAACTATGGCTCTTGAGGTCAGCTGTTCCCAATCCCTCAAGCATCATTGATTATTACAAGTCCCTCCATTGTCTTTACCATGGCCTACTAGTAACTTTCTCTATTTAAGCAGTCTCATTTATAAACTTATGAATGAGGACATGTGCTTACCTCACCTCACCAGGTGAAAAAGTGTAGAGACAGTAGTTTTTGTGCTGAAGGCTCAACTTTAGAGAACACTCAGCTGAAAGGAATAGAAAGAATATGACGATTCAGAAAAAGAAATGGAGAGGGAATTTCAAAGAGACAGGTTGCAGTAGCATCATGAGAGTGTATACAATTGATCACCAAGGCTTTATTTAGCACCAGCTATATACCAGCCATTACACTAGTCTTTGGGGTCCATAAAGGCAAAGAATGAAGTAATATACTCTAAATATCCACATATTATTTATTTTACATATTAATTTTTTATATATTCAACCACCTCCTTAAATAATTTGAGGAGATAAGTAAATAAGGAATATAAATAACTTTTCTCTCTGAAATATGTACAGTGACTTCTCTTTAGCTACTCTTGTCTAAGAGTATTGTATTTGGAACCATAGACAGGATACAGTTCTCAGCTTTAGCAACAGTCACTCAAATACCTGGTCATCATCACTGGTAAGGAAAGATCACCCCAAAAGTTGCAGTCATGAACCTCTTACAATTCATGATGAAAAAGAAAGAACTTATTCCTTTGATCACATTTGTGAGTTTTGCTGGAATTGGAGCAGCCTACATGTCCAAATACTCCCTTTTCAAAACTGATGTGATCCTTAACAGACAGAAAAATCCAGAACCACCTGAAAATGTGAATCCTTATCAGCCTCAAAAGCTTTTCACAATTAACCAAAAGTGGAAGCCTGTTGAAGAGCTTCAGACTGTCGAACAATTGATCAAATAAGGAGTCTCCATCTAAATCACACTCTATGGAACCATAGAACTATAGAATGCTATAGCTAGAATAAATCTGGAACATAGAATTAAGTATGCTAAAGCTTGCAAAGATATTAGAAGACAACATAATGGTGGGACACAAAGTATCTTTGAAAAAACAGAAAGGTGGAAAAGTAACTTAGAATACAGAAGATAAAATAGAACAGCTTCAAGTAAAAGGGGTTCTTCTTTAAGGTTTCTTAACCTAAGATGTCAACTTGCCTTTGTAAATTATATCTGATAAGAGTACTTCAATACGATTAGCTTTTTATTTTATTCTTTTAAGAAAATTATTCTGAGAAGAGATTCATAAAGTGTCTATGACATTAAAAAGTTCAGAACTTCTGCTTTAGAATATAGAATGTTGAAAATGAAAGCAATTGTAGAGTTCATATGATTTCACAGATGAGAAAACGCATTTAAAAGTGACTCAAAATCTAACTCTCCACAATTTGGTGCAGGATGACAGAGTGCTCTGAGGCTGTAGCCATTCATAAGCAAGAGAGTTGAGAGATTTCAATAATCAGAAATAGTTCCTTCCTTTTCCAGCAACCTTACTTCTCTGTTTTGTCTTGCCTTTTTTTTTTTTTTGGAGTTGCCTACAGCTTCCATTACAAGTTTCTTCAATTTGCCCCACATATCCTACAGACGGTCACAAGACATAGGATTTTAGGATCATAGATTTAGAGCTGAGAGGACACCGAGATAACTGAGTCCAATCCTCTCACTTTATATGACTTTTATTTTCAGTATTTTTTCCCAAAGGCCCATTCATAACTTTCATTTTTATTGGTATCTCTGAAAACGACCCTTCCCACATTTCCATTTACCTCTAAGTTTGAGATGTAGAGCTGCTCGTCTCTTCACTGTGTTCTTCCTGTTTTTTTTTTCTTTTAACAAAAACTACTTTAAGCACACTTTCAAGCATATCTTTGAGGGAGAACTAAAAGAATTATTACGCCTGTCTGGCCTATCTACTGGCTTTCTTTATGGCTAAAATTGATTTTACTTAAGCTAGTTTACATCATTACCTTTGTTCCTATGCTATTTGCATTCTTCATTCAGAAACGTTCATGAAATATTGCCTGGCTCAAGAGAATGTTTCCCTTTCCACTCTAAGGCCACGACATTAATTTGAATAGAGGAGAGAACTCTATTTACAATTCTGCATAAATACCTGCAATTGCCTGTGGACCATGGGTGGTTCCAAGTGATCAGCCACTGGATCTGGATGCCAGTTTAACTCTCCATCCCCACAACCTTCCCAAAAGTGTTCCTCGGGGAAACTTTGTAATCCCTGAAGACTTTTAAATCTTTGTACAGAACTGCATGGAAGTTAACAACTTTCAAAGCTTTAGGGATGTTGTAACAATCTAATTACATCAAACTTATTAGGTGGTGTTAATTGATGGCACAACAAATAAAGTGCAAAGAGGAAAACAATTTCAAATTTCTTCTGACCAACATAAATATAGAGGAAGAACACAATTATGCAGATGACTGAGCAAAATCTCCCACATCTCTGTTGTATCTATGAGTGTTGTTGGCTATGGAATTCCAATTCAAACTTACTAATATCTTCTTATGTTGACCTACTTCTCAATAGCCCCAAAGTCTAACATACAATGGGCATGTACAATAAGAATATAGCATGAGTGTAGCTTCCAGGCAAGGCTAGAACTTGGCCATCTATAGTCATGAGTGAAATAGTTGTCACGTGGGCAAAATTGGGAGATGTGGACTGTATGAGTACAGTTAGAAGAATTTAGAACTGATTAAAGGACTGAACCTAAAGAGTGGTGAATACCATATTGATGTCAGTGGTGTCAGGTGATGTCTAGTAGACGCTAAAGATCTGTCCTTGACCCTGTTGCTTTCAAAATTTTTATAAGTGGTTTGTGTGTTTATCATATTTGTGTATGATGTAAACTTTAGAGGAAGAGATGATATGCTGAATTATAGAGATGAGATCCAAAAATAACCTTAGAGACTAGAAAAATGAGTGAATGAGTAACATGTTTATGAAATGTTTACTATATGCAAAACACAGCGATAAGTTTGGAAAAACAAATAGAAAAAATAAGAGATTCCTTGCTCTCAAGAAGCTAATAGTGTAATAGGGAAGACAAAACATAGAGAAGTTATATGGAAAAATCCTGTGGTCCTTAAGATGTAATGGTAAAGCAAATGGATGCCTCTTTAATATCATTTCCACTAATAAAATCATATCAGTTTCTGATGTTCAACCAGCTGACAATAGAAAAGCCTCTGGGGAAAAGAACTCTTTTTTTTTTGTGTCTTCATTAGATGTAGCTATAGCACCTGCAGATAGCAATTGCCAGGCCATATCTCCACATGGGTTGCTTCTCAGGATGATGGCAGAAAGAACTTGGCTGAAGAATTCCCAAGATTCTGGGTTCAGGGTCCTGGGTTGTTTCC